ACACACACACACACACACACACACACTACACACACACACACACACACACACACACACACACACACACACACACACACACACACACACACACACACACACACACCATAGCCATTTTCGCGAGCTGTGGCAACGCGTCCGTGCTCAGAACATTCTTAATCCGCCTGGTGTCTCTCACTCCCTTTGGTGAAGCCACCAGCGCTTCTTCTCTGCGTGTAGCTGCGCCTGGACTACGCCATCCCAGCGTTTCTGCGCGTGGTTTGTTGCGGATGGGTGTGGTGCGTGTACCGTTGATGTGGTTGGTGCTGTTGCTGTTGTTGTTGGTGTTGGTGGTGTTGATGTGGTTGGTGTTGTTGGTGTGCTTGAGGTTGGCACGCCCCCCCTGTGTACACATGCAGAGGTATAAAGAGACATTCCAGTGGTCAGTAGAGAGTACCACAACACTTTCTCTACGTGGTTTAAGATATATAGAGTATGGTAGAAGGCTGCTGTTCAGTTGTGGTTGATGGTATTGTTAGTGCTGTTATTACAGTTATTGTTGTATGGCGCATCCTTAGGTATGTATGTGGGGAAGAAGAGGCAAGTCGTGCACAAACGGGTAGGTTGCGGTTCCTTCACAGCCGGACACGAATACTTGCTTGTCCGCCCAAATCTCAGCTTATGCTAGCGCGTGTCAGATGTTTGTGCGTGTGCGTGTGCGCGTACAAGCGTCTGGCGAGGATGTGTTCGGGGTGTAGGCGTATACAGACAGAACGGGAGTGTGCATGTGTGCGTGCGTGTGTGTGTGTCAGTGATTCATCAGTAGGGCGTTCTAACCATAACTAGCACCGTAATATAGGCCTTAACGCATACACACCGCACCTATACAGGCACATATACACACATACTCGCTCATCCAAAAGTTATCACGCAGACATACCGCAGCAAATACATTCCTTCCCCCAGATTGGTGGTCTACGCTGCGCGTGCGTGCAAGAGTCAGCATCATGCTCAGACTACCCTCATCCGCATCCTCCTCTGCGCCCACCAGATCCGCTGCATCCTCCAGAGCGCTCCATCTATTCGTGCTATTACTTCTCTGTTTACGCGTGACGTTGTTGTTGTTGTTGTTGTTGTTGCTGCTTTCGCTGGATTTGTTGGGCAATTGGAACTTGTTGTTCCGTGACTTGGGGCTTTGTGCTGGAGACCAATCCCGGGACGTCTGCAACAGTTCACTTTTGGGTCTGTAAATGGGTGACCGACTGTTGCGCATACCCGACGGACCCTATATAGCGTGCATATTGAGACGTATGACAAGTATATTAATTATATAT